TTTGTATAGAATTTGACTGATGTCCAGGTATGAGTTTGATATACTGACACAACAGCAAAAAGAAATCCTGTCCCATGTCAGCTTATCAAACGCACTGTGGACATCATGTCTTCTAGCTTGTGCCATTCTACCAGGTTGTACCACACCATTGGAAGAAATTCTATACATCAAATGTGAAGACTGTTCAGTGGAACTCAACCTCGGTATTTCCAGATGAAATTATACAACATCTGAAAAGACTGAGGTATTGTACCACTAAACTAGGTAAATCAGTTAAAACAAAGTAAAATACAGGATGAAAGCAATGGGAAAAATCACATTATTTACCTTAGCTCTGTTGTAAACCAAGTACACGTGAAATATTTGAAAAATCAAAAGAAGAGACCTTTCATTGTTGAAGAGCATAAAATTTTGAGGTGAAATTATTTCTACCATGAAACAAAAGCATAAAAGATTATGGTTATCTTGTATTCTGGCTTTTTTTCCTAACACACACACCCCCCCCCCCCATTTCCCCTCCACCCATTTAAGCTCTTCAAGCTCTCTTCTCACTGACTCTGTTTAAGGAAACTCTACTCCACTTGTTTTTTCTAGACGCATTTGGCATCCAAAAATATCATACAGACCTTCCTTTGGAATTGTGCGTACTTATCGTTTATACAGTCTGTCAACTGTATATTTATACTATGCTCCCTGAATTTTATTGAATGCTTCAAAGCTATAATGATATTTCTCAAACTGTCTAAACGTTAAACAGTATAAAAATGAAAAACTGATCTTTGAAAGTTCAGACTTGCTCATGCTGTTATTTTTGCTGAGGAATTTAAACAATAAAATTACAAAAGTAATTAAACAGATGACATCTACATGCACAGCTGCAAGCTTCAGCTTTGTTTCATTTTATGGCTTTTTTTCGAGAGAGGGAGACTGAAATTACTTTATAGTTTACCATAGCATACCTTATCATCATAGGGATCATTCATACTGTCTTCCAGATACAACTGGAAAACAACTGTTCTTCCAAAGTTCTTCAGCTTCTTTGCAGGCAGTTACTGTACCAAAGCCTTTTGAGCAAAGGGCTACTTTTAAATGTCTGGTCACCTCACAGGATATGTAGAGCATTTCCTGCCCGTAGGACTAGGGGAAGGAAGCATACAGCCAAAATGTTTGATGTGTGATCTACTGTGATTCCTTTCATGTGTTTAGTAGCTTTTATATGATCAAGGTAGTGCTACCAGTCCTGACCTTGGTGTGGTCCGGTTCACTAAAATCTGACCTTCCTAAATGGGTAGCAAATGGAATCATAGTAACACCCACCTGGCACCAGCACTGTAATAAAAGGGTGCAGGGGGGTGTTGTTATTTTTAACTTTGAATATGTACCTACTAGGTTTCAAAATAAGAATTGTATCTTGATAGAAAATTGCAATAGTTAATTTTTATACGTGTTTTTATGTATTTGCATTCTTATAGCACTGTATATCAGATGATCTCAAAATGTTTTCTATGCAATTAATCATATTCACAGCATCGTATTGGCTTTGTGCCTGCAATATATATGAGTAAACTGTTGAAGAAGTTGATTTTGCTGCTTAGTCACATAATAAGCGAGTTTAGAGAGAATAGGAATGAAATCTGGCACTCCTATTTTCCTTTCTCATGTTCTAGCCTTAGGGAGAGGGAAATATGTCCTGCAGGCCCACAGGAGTTCTGCCCTTGTCTCAAACCTTCTTGTGCACAAGTTAGATTTGTCATCTCAAGTTCTGACCAAGCCAACATTTTCTGTTCCTTTTGAGACAGCATCAGATACATGTGCAAAGTAGGCACAAACCATTGAATTCAGTTCTCCAAATTTCTTCTTATGTTCAAAACCAAATTTGTTTTCTCTTGCAATATGATAGCTCAGTGAAATCAGACCTTTTTAAAATGGTTTCGGGTGAAAGTAAATATCTGTATGACTCAATAGTTGCAGTTGATAAAACTTGTCAAATAAAGGGCACAAAGTAGTTAGCCAAAAGAACTGTTGTGTTCTACATCACCTGCTGAAAGGTTCAGGTGGGACAGTGAAATTACTTACAGAAGGAGGAAGCAATTGAAATCATAACCAAGCAATTGAAATCATAACCCCCATGGTACATTTCATCTGTAAAACAGTGTTTATGCTAGGGGTAGAAAAGTAATGAATTTGGCTTACTCTGTTTCCCTGGTTTTATTTGCCGAAAGGATTTTGAAAGCTGAATAGTTCCTACACAGCATGTATGCTTAAGATTAGGCCAATTCTGTTGTGGTTTAACTTACTTTCAACCACCTAGGAAGTATACAACTAATAAGTTGGTGGCATACTTAACGAAAATAGTTGATATGGAAAACCAGAAATTAGTGTTAATGTAAATGACTGTATGTATATAATTTCTTTGGGAAATTTTGATCCTTGTATAAAACTGGCTGGATGTACTTCCCAAGAAAGCAATAATTGGATTAGTTGAAACATCAAGGCATTAGTAGCTATTCCTCGTATTTTACGCATATGCATAAAATGTGTATCTTGAAAGGGATAATCTCTAGAAACAGAAATTTTTTGCTTGGGTTTCAATGGTGTATCTAAAAGATCAGGGGAAGAGTTTTGTATTGTATATAGGAGATCATTGATAGTAGAGAGGGAAGAAGAGAATGAAAAAGAGCATGAAAATGCAGGTTTTATGCTAGTGGGAAGGTATTAGGCTGTGATAACGCAAATCGGTACAAACAGCCAGTCCCTGAGATTCTACAGAATTGATTGGATTGAATCAGAAAAGTTCTAATAGACAGATAAACCTTATATTAGCAGTGCAGTACACTAGTACCTTGTATCTGAATAGTACCTTTGCTGCATCTAAATATGTGTGTCAAAGACTAACTTCATTGTGATTTATATTTAAAAAAGTAAATTTATGAGGGGAGAAAGCCAGTGTCACAATGATGAGTGTCACAGGTTGGCACTTACAACAACATTTTGCTTGAAGAATTTGCTTCACAAGGTTGTGGTTGTGCTGAGCAAGCCTCAGGAATATAGTGCCAAGTGCAGGTTAATGTATGTTATTAAACTGCTTATAAATAAAACAAATGGAAAGGATTCTTTATGCTCGAGTACAGGAGAGAAGCATTCGTTATGCAGGTGAAATTAGTATCATATTCTGTATTTTAAGTACTTCATTACATTACATACTTCATTGCATACTTCATACTTCATTGCATTGCATACTTTCATTTCATTACATACTTCATAGATTTCATAAAATAAGTACATCTTTCCTTATTTTCAGTAATATTTAAAAAAAACCACATAATATTTACTTGTCTTAGAAAACTTATGAGAATAGTCACTGTGTCATACAATAATCTGTGGGTCTTTTTTGTGTGTTTTGTTTTGTTTTTTAAAGAATTGCATTCAAATTGATGAAATAATGCCTAGAAAGAATAATAGACGACACAGTTGTTGTGGTTAGATCTCTGTATGTGGAAAGTTGACAAACACATTCTTGAGTTTTAAGAAACCACATTTAATTTTGAAATAGCACTACTGACATAACAGATTTTCAGTGTATTTTTGCTAAGCATATAAGGAAGTTCTTAGAGCTACTGAACAATGCCATCACAGTGCCTCACCAGGAATGATGTGATCAAAACGGCTTTCCTGCCATTCACATGACTCTGTAGGTAGATACGATTAATTACTGAATTTTCTTAATTGCTAGCCTACTCCATTAGTGACAATGTGGTGGTATCAGCAGTTTCAACCATGTTTGGATTTGGACTGCATTGGGATTGCACCTTGAAATCGATTGCATACCTGCACATATAGGTCGCATGCAATGCATGCATCACAGGTTGAGATGTGCTGCTTTAAACCTTATTTATTGTTTGCTTGTTAGCATCAATAATTAACCAAACTGCAGAATTATTAAATTCTCTGTGGAGACAGCAGTTATATACTAAATAACTATTCTGGCATAAGACAACAACCTAAAGTAGAACAGTAGATTGGATGGCATCTGCAAATAAGAAGCTTAAACTTCACTGGGATGTATGAGATCCATAAAAATAGATTGAAATTTGATGTGATCAGAGATTCAAAGCAAATAATAACTAAGATACCCTTATTCCCTTGTTTTGAAAAACAGTGACTAGATCAATTGTGTATTTTTATTGTAATATCAAGTGAGCAGTGCACATAAAGCTGTATTGTTCCCCATGTAGAAAAGGCAGGAAAATTTTTTGAAAGATTTACTATTGCTTATTAGCAAAAGACAAATGGTAGTAGGAGACTCCTCTGGTACTGGTAAAACCAAATGGTCTCACCAGCTTCCACTCATTCAGTAGCTCTTGAATATTTTGTTGAAGTTGGGCATAACAATTTCCCAAGAATTTAGAAGAATCCGCAAGTAATGTGGTTCACTCAGAAATGCTTTTTCCTCACATGTAAGTATTTTAATAACAAAGAACTGTACTGAGATTCCACGTTAAAAAGATCCATCATCTTGGAATGTTTTTTTTTTAATTTTTATTCTTTTAATAAATTTGAATAGTGCAACAATTGTCTCACAATAAATTTGTTTGTGATACTGATATGTTGCAGTTCTCTTTGATGACACGAGTGTGACATCCTCTATCTATTCAGTAGATAAGAATTAATCTTGCTTCCCCTTAAGGCTGCTCATATGAACCCAGTTGAAAGTGCAGTAAATTCAGTGGGTTGAAGTCGTATCAATTTTGGTGGCTCTGGCTAAATTTTGAAATATATTTATTTGCATGCTCCCACTGAATTCCATAGGAAAGAGGCAGCTGGATACTTCTGAAGATCTAGGCTTAAAATAATGCTTATTTGTAATCAAGAATGACAAAATTGATGCCTTACTTTTCTTAACTTTGTATCTTAATGTGTATCAGATTGATCTGATTTTGATCTTTGCTGCTGATTTATTTTTCCTTTCTTAAAAATTTTTTGTCCCTTTGGCATTACAGAAAAGCACTGAATCTAGGAATACTTCGAGACCCTGGATCAGAGGTTGAAGACAGACAGTACCAAATAGATCTTCAGTCTATAAACATTGGTACTGCTCATTGGAATCAGTTGAAACCAGAGAAGGAAAATGGAAAAGGAGGGGTTTTGACAGAGAGTGAAAGAAATTCTCAAAATCCAGCACTTGAATGGAACATGGCCAGCAGGTAAGAAGGTTTTTTAATTTATTCTTTTCCAGAATTACATAGCACCAGCACTGCGGGTACCATTTGCAGCATATCTGAATCAGATAATTCTGTATTGGTTTTGTTGTAGATTACACAAACACGTTTCCATGGAGTTTTGTATTCTAAATTTGCAATGCACATTACTATTATTGTTACACTTCAGTCACTGTCTAGTTGTTATTTGTTTCCATTATAAGCGCTAAGTGGCTTACTGTACATCTGTAAAAGTAATCTCAGAGGCTGAGACTTCAGCTTCTCAGTCTACAAGCAATGGGAGGTTTTGGATTTATTTTGGGTTGTGTTTTTTTTTAATTTATTTTGTATGTATTTTTACAAAGCTTGAGGAAACCAGCGTGGACATTTCTGAGCTGGTTCTGAACTGGTATTTACACTTCTGCAAGTAAAATCAGATGAGTTTTGAGAATGTGTATTGTATGATACGTGCATGCAAAGCCCCACCCTCTATCTAAACAGGATTGAAAGATAAAGCATTAAAATACACTTGCACAGTATTCTAAATTTTAATATTTTTTAATAACCAATTTAAAACCTGAATTTGTGAAATTTTGAAAATTTTTCTGTAATTTTAATATATTTTTTATACTTAAAAATTCATACAGGTTGTTTGAAACTAATTTTTATAGACTGTGTAGCAGTTGAAGTTCTCTCTTTAACCTGACTGGAATAATATCTGATGGCCAAGATCGGGCTTTCAGAAGTAATTTTGGGGATTTAGAAGCATTTCTGCTAGAAGATGTCTGCCCACACATTTATTCATTTTCATTTAAAAGACCTTTATATCTAATTCATACAAAACCAATACTATTTTATGAAATGCGTGCGTCATTTCATGGTTCTTAAGATAGTTGAATCAAGGGATGTGTTCCTAAAAGTGATACAAAAAAACAGGCAGAATCATAAGGAAAGACAAAAATTGAACTATTCCTGGTTTAATTTTCGAAGAAAGGTGGGAGACATGAGGACTCAGAGATTTTTCTGAAAGTGTGGCAAGCTGTAGCAGAAGAAGCTACCTGAGGATGGCAGGCAGACTGAGCTTTGTAAGTGTTGTGTTTATGAATCACCAAGAGAGCAAATAAGCTCACTCTGGAGGAGCGTATGCAGGAAAAAGATGTGATCAAGAATGAATTCCACTTTGTCACTGAAAAACAGCAGGAAAAGCAGATCTAACAAAAGTAATGATAAAACCACATGGAGTGACATGAGTACAGATAAAAATTTAAATAGAGTAATGATATCTGTTCTTAATTTACAGGATCACCTGCTTCTTTCCCGTCTTTTAACAATTTATTTCCTTTTTTTAGCTAATGTAATTCGATGGAGAATTTTCTTTTAAATTCTCAGTCTTGGAAAAAATACGTTATGACCTTCTACTTGGGCCTCGATGTTGGGCAGGTTGCCCATGAAGTTCTTTCTCACAGAATAGTGTAGAGCCACCGGCATTTCTTAAAAGATAACAATCTCCCAAGGAGAGAGTTGAGCTAACTGAGCAAAACCAGCCACTGAGGAATTGTCTTTCCTTTTCCTTCCCATTGGTGACTGGAATCGTATTGCCAGCACACTTTGGTCTGAGCTTTGTGGTTAATAGATTTGAATAGGAAATTTGATGGGATCCCTGAACAGCTATTAAGATAAGGGAAACAGCTATTGCAGATAATCTGAGTTCTCTTTTTTTTTTTTTTTTTTTATAACTGCTTGTGCATTCTTCTTTTCCTCAGTAAATGTCCAAAATAAACTTTTATTAAAATATATTTGACAAACAAGTATGTTTGCTTTGAAATTGCTTTTGAATGAATCTTCTACTTGGGTTTTAATCTCTCTCAGTTGTAATTAGCTTTCCCTTTGTGGTATGCAATACAGTATTTTAATTCCAGCTTGAAATTGTTTAAAGAGAACTATGAGTGTTTTCTCATCCTTTTGGCTTAAAATTTTACACATTTACAACAGTTCTTTTTCAGGATGTTTGCATTTTTGCCTTTTAGTTGGCAGTCAGTTTTGCTGCATCTGGGTTTATTTTATGATCTGTGGAAGTGGTGTGCTGAGAACTGGAAGAACCTACATTGAACTCTGCTATCCACTGAGATATTTCCAGCATGCACCAAGAGGGTAGCTGGATGGTGTTTTACATCGTGCTTAGTGTTTCCAGGATGAAGTTTATCTTAAGATTTCCTGCAACTGTCACAGAAGCTTTATTCTTTCACCTATTTGTGATACCGTTTTCTTTTTTAATTCTTTAAGTTCCTTGGACATGTTTAACCTGGAACATAATGAATTATTTTTACCGAGTTATTTTAGGGTTAATTTCTTTGTTTGGTTTTAATATATTTCTGTTGGTTTTACTTATGGTTTAGGCCCAGTGTTATGGTTTATTAGGTTCACTGGGTTTTAAGATTCTTTTTTGAGATCTGTTTCCATCATTTTTTAATTCTTAGGTGCTGTGTGGTGCAGTATGGAATCCAACCTATATCCATGTATTTCATACAGTTACTTTACAGAAAAATATTCCTAGTCCTAAAAGCATTACTGTAATTTTGTTTTTAATAAAAGTTCTAAAACCTGTCAAAAAAGCTATATTATAATTTAGCCTACTGGGTTGAAATTTGGACTTGTTTTAAAAATTCGCATGAAAACCAAATAATTGTAAATATAATGTCTATGGATATACGAACAGATGTGAAAGCTTGTGACATAACTTATCATTTAAATGCTTTAACAATCTTTACACAGAAAGTCAATCCTTCACATTTTCCCACCACTTTTTCAGAGTTCAGTGTTTCTAGTACTTAATATTGCATGGGTTTGAATTTTTTTTACTTTTACATTGTAATTTGGAAAGCAAGGAGTCCTGCTTTGAGACTAAGTGTTGAATATTTTAATGTTTTTAGTGTAAAATTCTTCGGGGAGGGGGCTATTGTGAAGTGCTGGTGTGATGCCTCCTGTGCCCTTGCAGGTCACCTCAAGAGGAATGGGGGCACTGGAGCACTCTGATAGGGTGGGTGCTGTCTCCTAGAAAAAAACATCCAAATGCTGTACTGTACTGAGTATGAGGGAATCATAACTCTTTCCATTATGAAATGTTTATACTTCACTGTAGATGTTATAAAAAGCTCCCTAATGGTAATATATAAAAAGAATACTGGAAACAGTCAGACAGCTCTAATAAGGTTATGTACAAATGAAACCTGTCCACATTTATTCCCTTTACCAAACAGCATGTGGGGAACTGGGAGTACTTAACCAAAAGAAGTTTTCTTGATTGAAAACTGCTTTTTCAGCTTGCAGATATCCTCCTCCCTCTCCCTCCTCTCAATGGAAAAAACAACAGCCCTGAAGGAAATAAAGAAATATATCCTCTCTTGAGGCCTCGCCCCCGTCCCTGAACAATCCTTCTACAGCTCCCAGCAGCAACTTCTGCTTCCTGCAGCCTGAATAAACTCTATTTAAAAAAAAAATTAATTGATCTTAAAAGCATTATTTCTCTGTGTGGTAATGAATTGAGTGTGGCAATATACTGCATTACAGTTTTATCCTTGGCATGCCACCATCTGGAACAGCTCTCTGCAACTCTCATTGAGTACGTCAGGGAGCCAATGATCTGTTGTACAAAACTGAACAAAATACCACTCTGGCTTTGCAAGGATCCTCAGAAAGGTTTCCTACAGATTTTTCTTTGAATAGTTTTCATTTTCATGCTTTTTGGAAAGTTGAAGTGTAGTTTGCGAAGTTCTAATAAGAAAGACCAGATAAAAGTGATCTGTAGATCCATTTGTAGGGAAATATGGCCATTCCTTGTGGATCTTTTAGAATATAATGCATTTATATAATAATACATTTATATTCACTCCTGTATTTTAATTCCTGTACCTATTGTTCCTGAAGTCGTGGTGTGTTCATATTGTACAAAGCCTTAGTAAGATGGAATATGTTATTTTGTTACTCCACAGCAAAGAAACATTGCATGGCATTTTTAATAAGATTAAAATTAGTTTTACTGAGCCATAATTATATAACAATACCCATTCTGTAAAGCCAGATGTTGTATGTTTGTTCATTGTCTAATTTTGCTCATTAGATAGTCCTCATGATGATGCTATGTTTCAGTGTCCCACAATGTGTCTTTGCAACACCTCAGAGAGCTGAAAGGATGTGAACTGTTTTGCCCGCTGGGAGCTGGAGGTTTAAGGCATGATGGTGTTACTAGTAGTTAGATATCCTAGTACATTTGTGAGTCAGTGATTAACTGATTTATGCAACTACATGGGAAACCTGCAAGTCAAAGCTCTAAGTTATTATGCTAACCGACATAACATCTTTAGTTTTGCATGCCTCGCACTACTAGAGGATGGTTTGATTTTGTGGCCTATTCCACACTAATACTTGGGGGTTTTACCTTTCTATGTTGCAAAATTCTTTGTGAGGATGTATCTCTCTGTAGACAGTAAACTTACATGGTATAAATGAGCTACTTACGGTCATTCATGAATTGAATATAGGAGTTGCTTCCTGGCTTGTGTATTTTTTAAGTATATAAGGGCTTAAACTCTAGATTCAGGAAGGTATTATTAATTAAGAAAAAATATATTTAAGAAGAAGGCTTAATTTCCAGGTTTCACATCTAGGTTATATTTAGCTCTTACTGGCCAGTGTTTTCTGTTTGTTTTGATTATGTTTTTTCCACATAAGAAGGCCAAGTTATAGTCCTTCTTGTGCATTTTCACAGCTTATCCAGCCTCACATCATCACATCTCTTAATTAGTGCAACATCATCTTTTTGGCAGTACTTCCTGCTCATATAACTTCAGTGTGCTTCTGAGAGGATGTAATCAAATGCTGATGATTTGATTTGATGTAATCAAATGTTGTTGCTTTGATTACAAGATTCTATTATTCACTTTTTTCCTCTATTCTTTCCACAGCATTTTTTGTCTTATTAATTATTACATATGTCTTTGCTTTCAAGGTACTTCCGGACTCCTGTATCTATCCATTTCCCTTTACATGTCTTCTCACGTTTATTTTGACACATCTATGCTCACTGCTTATCAGACCTCATCATACCAGTTACCAGGGCTGCCGCATTTAATTTTCAAAGAATCACTTTCTTGCTTACATCTAAGCTAACCTGTATGTTATAAAAGCATTTCCTGTGAACATTCACAAAGTTATTGCAATGTCTTCTTCCAAATCCTTCCAAAACATTCAGTTCTACTATACTGTAATATAAAAACTCATAAGATAGCTTTCAATTTGCCACTGTACAGATATTATTACCTATGGTAATGTTAATTGTTCCCTTGTAGTTCCCTGAGTGTGAGCATATTTTTTCTTATAGTTAAATTGTAAGCCTTTGAGGACAAAGACCATTTTTGTCCCATGCTTTTATAGTGTGTATCTGTGCGCCATAACCAGAGTTCATGTGATCATGCTGATATAGCCCAAATTCAGCACTGAGTAAAAGGCACTTCCAGGCCTGATCACAACTGCTTTGCTGCCTTGTTGCTTTGTGTTAGCATATGGTCTTTCAAATGTGCTGTTCTTTTAAGTATAGATGATCAACTGCTTTAACATCTCTAAAAGTACTAGCTTTTTCTTTTTTTTTCCAAGACAAATATATAACAGATGCATAAATGAACCATGGAATGAATGTGCTGCAGACATAGAGCCATCATTACGCTCTTCACAATCAAGTTTTTTCATAAGCTCATGTGGCGTACACCTGTGTTAAGTTAATGGTGCACTTAGGTGCAGTGTGGAAGACTTAATAATTCAAAGTGGAATTTGTTTCTTTGTTCCTTTTGTGCTCTTTCTCATATCCTCCCCATTCATTATTTACCGTGCTCTGTTTGCCTTCTGTTTGTACTTACAATTATTTTGCTAATACTTGATTTGGCTGAACTTCAAATTCACCAACTAGAAATATGGAAGCAGGACAGGGATACCACATAGGAACAAAAATCAGCAAGCAATCTGTATTACAGAAAATGTGCCTTAATATTCACTGTACTATCTACTAGAATAGCATTTAAAATTAATAAATGAGAATATATATGAGCTTAAAAATAATTTAAACAATGATTGAACAGAGCTAATTTTACATTTGGGGTTCAATGAGTAACTTGCTACTACAGCTGTTTTGTATATTGAAATCGTACTTACTAGCATTTTTATGCCCCTTCAAATAGGGGTTTTCTAATATATAGTTGTGTGTTCCTTCATAAAATAGTTCTACTACTTAGTTCTTTCATTTTCCTCAAAAACAAAAGCTTTTCTGTCTCATCCGATTGAAAAGGGGAAGTAGGAATTGGATACAAAGCCATCTGGTTTAAATTTAAACTGAAGGTGATGGCATGGAGAGAAACATTTGTAGAACTTGCAAAATCTAAGGCCATTTTCTCAGTTGAAGGTGTACACTAACCACTAATGGCTCTGCTTTTTTAATTTGGGGATCTAATTGGACTAATCTTGCTTTAAAAAACATTGTTAAAGATCAGCAGAACTACAGCTGACCGGGAAGGTAAAGCTTTTAATGTAAGATGGTAGGTTTCTCAAGCTCAGTAATTGGCTTGCTCTTAAGCATGCTGCATACTACATACAGTAGCTTGCAGCCTGCCCGGCAGTGTTTGTGAAGGTCATTTGAAGCACAAGTTTATTAGATTTGTGCTCAATAATTACTAGCTCTGTGCCCTATAGCATCTGCTGTTAACTTCTGTACGCTGTTGCCCATAATGAATTGAAAAGGCTTCAGGCCTACCTGCGTCTGATAGTTCATAATCCTTATAGATTACTGTGCTTTCTACCTGTTTTGAGGACACATGCAAATTGTTAGTAGAATTTGGAACATCAAAATAGTCTAAGCAATAAATTGTCATCTATGGATTTTGAATCTTTTGAAGTTGACAGCGTTACAGTCACGTTATGATACCTATTGGATTTATTTTTGGCCTAACTTTTGGCCTACAAACCATCATCATTTGAGATTGTTTACTTTTCAACAGAATCCATTTCAGAACTATTACTTTACTAGACTGTGTATATCAATACCAGTCTTAATCAAGAGATTTAATTACCTATTCCACATGCAGTCCAGAGCTTTCCGCATAGACAGGCATACAGCCATATTGTTTAATGACATTAACAAGGGTAGCTCTAGATGATGGTAAAGACTAATTGTCTAATTGCACAGTATGTGCACCTGGCTCACTTGCGCGATTTATGCTGATGTCCAAAACACCATGTGTCCACTACTGGCGATAGAGATATAAAAGGAAAGACAGGGATACCTAACTGACATGCAGATAGATCTGAAAAATTCTGCACAGATACATATTTTTTCCTCTATGTGACAGTGTAGTTCGGTCTTTCCTTTTATACCATGATAGATATCTGCATAATTTAGTGTATACTTTTAGCTGGCATTGTTTCACGGTTGATAACTTTCTATTTTGTAAGCATAGGAAAACTTACCATGGACTAAAACATCTTACTGTTTTTTAGAGTTCTCCTTGGTGAAATGCAGATATTTAGCATTTCTATAAATGATGTTAGCTGAAAAGAATTACCTATTTTGATAGAAGGGTTCTCCCAGGAATTTGAACTGTATCCTCTTTTAGGGCTGAACACCATCTTGATCTCGTTACATTTTTTTTTTTCCCTGATCAGAGGCTCTCAGATGGCATTTTGTGTCAATAGTTTATTTGACCTGACCCAGAAGATTCTGGCTATTTGGAATGTGTTGTCATAAGCTATTAGTGATCCATCTACAACAGAGGTGTGCCTCTAGGCTTAGCATTTGGTTAAAAGGAAAAAAAGAGAAAGAAAAAGAAAGGAAAAAAAAAACCAAAGGCAAACACCCAGCTGGAAAACAAATGTAATTATCAAGTTTAATGCATGAATATTATTGGCAAGCAAATGGCAATATTTAGATTGAAAGGTATCAACAAAGAAAAAACGATGACAGAAGCATTGAAGATGACTGACATGTCTCAATTTTCAAGGCATTTTAAACATCGTGGGCAATAGTTACTATAAATTTAATGTGTGAACCCCTGAGTTTCATGGGATGTGCTAGTTTAATATTTCATGTCTTTGATTTTTGTGTCAGTTATGTTGTTGCGTGCAGAATGTTTTCACCACAGACTTTGAATACCATGAATTCAAATACTGTACAGACGTCAGGACAGCTTTTTATGAAATGAAGGGCATGCACAGGCAAGTTTGAAAAATGCTGATAATAAAGTTTGTATCTTTGTGCAAATAATTATGTATAGTTCATTAAACAGTAGAAGAAGCAGTATCAAACTTGTCTGCCTGGAGATGTGATGAAGAGTCAAATATTTAGACATACTTTTTCTGTGAAATGAAGGTAGAAGTCTGCCTACAAGATGGCAATTAACATGATTTATAATGATGATATTTAATGCATGCTGAGGAAGCAATCAAGTGCCAAACTGGTGTTGAAGCAGTTTGGTACCTGTGCTGAATGTAAAGAAGAATATAAGAAGCTTTTTCCCCTCAACAATATATAATGTAATTTCATTTAATGGTTTAACAGATTGTTTGTTTGTTTTATTAGCATAAGGCGGCATCAGGAAAGGAGAGCGATTTTGACTCCAATTCTGACAGATTTCACAGTTCGAATAACAGCAGCTCCTGCAATTATTTTTACAAAAATTGATGCTGCAGAGAATTTACACCAAGAGGTTAGTACAAAGCATGAACAGAAAAAGCATAACTTTTAATATGTTGATAATCTTAATTTTACTGTTCTACCATTTGCAGTGTCCCAGTGTGATTTCAAATACAGAGATCACCCTGGTAGGAGGGGTAAGAGTTTTAGTAACTAGCTGAAATGTTTGTTCTCTACTGGAGAAAGAATTTGTGTATAGCATTTGATATTCAAGGCAGCCTGTCTAGAGGTAGATAATCCTGTTTGCAAATCGGAAAATGGGAATCCTTTAATGATTTCCAGCAGTATTTTTAAAAGTGATGGAAAGGTTTGAGAAGAGGCGCTATTACGAAACATTGTATTCAATGTATTCTCAAAGAAGCCTGGAAAAGCAATCTGTACAGTATCTATAAGAAGTCGAGTTGAGTTTCTTTAGCCAGATTTTCAAGCCCACAGATTGCCACAAAACATCTACTCCCCACCATTACTGTGGACACTTCATGGTACTCCAGATTTAGCAATCACCATTACCAGTCTGTGGGTCAGCTTGTTAGTGATCATGTTACAGACAAAAGGTATTGGCTCACTTTTTGGCATTAATTTGTAGCTCAAGAATTTAAAAGATTTTATTTAGGGGAAATATCAGAAAGATTTTTTCTGTTCACAAGAAGTATTTCTTGTAAAAGCTACCTCCTGGGAAGAGCAAAACTGGTACAGGAGTTTAAAAGGTATTAGGTGTGTATTGTAATGCAAAATAGGTGTACATTGTTGGAAAATAATAGCCAATGGGTATAGAAAGAAAAAATGACAGCTTCGTGTTGTGTGTAAAGGGTCATCACAAGGGCAGGTGGCAAGTTATTTCATGTAAAGATGAAATAGCTTGGAGGGTAACTAGGATTCATAGAAGTTATTTAAAAACTAATCTCTGAGTTTTACTAATCCTTATGTTGAAGAATTTCAGTGTTTTCTGTACATACATTCTTCTTGTTACCTGTTCCCAGGATGATGTTCCCTGATGGAGAGGTCTAGTTTAGATTACGAAAAGCTTGAACATTATGCAACATTCTGAGGAGAACAGGCAGTATTTCTACTTATTAAGCAAACCTTCTGCATTGGTTCTGGTTTTCATCTCTTTATCACTTGCCAGCTGTGGTGGAAAGCTTGTTTTGTGCTAGATAACACCAGTAAAACAGTGGCCATCCAGCTAGCTTTGCCAAGGTTTTAATAATGGTTTACAGGCAAGAAGAAATCAATTAGCTTGGTTATCAGTGAGTTCCAACACAGGATTTCATTACACATTAAGCAAATTTTATGTTTAAGAAAAAAAAAAGATACCCTTTTCTTGAAAGTAAAGGACAGTAGGAGTTATTGCCAAGGAAGTGTAAAACAAAATCTGACAGTCCGACAGTCCACTGTTTGGTACTGCCAAGAGATGGAAACAAGACCTAACACATTAGATGCTTTTCTTGCAAAATTTGGCTTAATAGTTATATTGTTTAAAGTAAAGGAAAGAATAAGCTACATCCATTTTTAGAAGCCAGAGACACTACTTTCTCCTGAAAAAGACTAAATTAATACTGTGATTTATATAGTATTAATTTGTCATAATAAGTCAATATTGAAGCATTGACTACAGCAGAGAATCACAATACAGTTACATAGAGGCTGAAAATTATTTCCAGAATGGCTGTTATCTTGTATTTTCTCTTAATTTCTCAACAGGAAATTTTGGTGTGTGGTCATTCTTTGGAGGTAAATGTAACAACAAACCTGGATTTCTTCCTGAATGTAGCTCAAGTACAACTTCTTCAGCAGCTGGTACAAGCCAATATGGTTGGACTGGAACCTTCCAGTAGTACCACTGAGGTAGGTTTTTTTCTGGTTTGCTTTTGGTTTTTTTAGAGTGCCACAGCTCAGGTGTTTGTATCATCTAGGTAAAATTAAAAGGTAAATGAAATACAAGTTTGTTATTGTTTCTTTGGCCAGCTTTAAAATGCAATCTGAGTATTCTGACAACAGGATGAGTGATATTTTAACAAGAATATTATTCAGTAAATTAGACTAAGGTGGTTCTATAGCATCTTATGAAAAGAATTATGTAAACAATGAAGGAAATCAGTTTTGAGCTAGGTTTCTGAGGCTGTTTGGTGTTTAACTTTTATTGAAGCTTCAGCATCTTGTAAGTTCGCATACTACACTGTGCTTCACAAAAGTCAGTGAACTATAACATTTTCTCTGTTTGTACTCAACATTAACTGTCTTCACTGAAGTCCCTAATATTCAGTCCACCTCTGAATATTCTTATACTTCTCCTGTAAGAAAGGGGATGTGTACATCATGAAGGGTCCTTTATCTTCTGAACAATTAATGTCTCCTTTTTTCTGCAGTCTTACTGTGTTCAGCAAGTATATTTTGAATTTGTCATTTTTTATCTGGAAATTGATACCTCAGTTTTCATTGAAGACCAATCTCCAACTGTGACAGATTTTAAATTAAATTATTAATTTGAATTGTTACTATAAATTATTAAACTTCTGGGCTGATACAAAAAAAAAGATACAAGAAAAGAAAGTTAAAACTTTGCCCTAAGAAAAAAAAATGTGTATTTCTTCAAAACCAAGGATCTAGTCAGGCTGATAGTAATCTTTAAGACAATAGAAGTTAATGTATGACAGGACACTAATTCCCGTGCAATAGCTGTTGGACCATTGAGAAATCTTCATAAATAGGAACAAGAGCTAAAGAGGGAGTTAAAGAGAAATACGCAATCAGCTCTTCCTTTCGAAGAATCTGGCTAATGGGAGACCTGAAAAAAACTTTTCATCTTCCTTTCCTGAATCTCTCAGATTCGGCATTCATGTGAATCTGGGTGGAAGCGAGGAATGCTCTAGAGCAGCCAAACTACTTATATTTCTCTCTCCTCATCCTGTCAAAATCTCAAAAGTTGTTTGTACCTGCTAATCTAGGCATCACATCACCCCCTGCTGCTTTATCCCTTCCCGAGGATAGAGGGAAATAAAAGGCATTTTATTAACATGCTGAGGCGTGAAAGATATAGAAAAATGCTGTGTATCTTTCTTTTCCTTGGATACTTCACAGATACAGGGCCTCTTTTGGAGATGAACATTATAAATAAGTATATATGGGAATATCTTCAATAAATAATTTGTGGAGCACTGTTTTCCTGTTTTCAGAATCAGAATATTTAAATGATACCAAGAATTTTACTTTTGAGTTGGTGCTGTGCAGAAGTGCGGCATGACTGATTTCACTGCATAAGCTTAAAAGCAATTTGCTACGTGTTTTCAGACAGGTTGTTTTCTGACTACATCCAAGATGCCTATTTGTTCTTCATTAATATCTCACTTGAATTATTGAGGTCTCCTGTAATGAGTAATGGAATAATTCTTGTTCAAGGCGGTGGCTTCTCTTTAATAAGTTACAGAATTTTATCTTGATTTACTATACTGAAAACATGAAATCCATTAGTCGGTTACTTTTTGTCCAGTTCTTTCTTTAGTGTTCTGTAGTCTTTTATGCCTATATGAAACAATCCTGCCCTCTGATATATGCACATTTATTATTGTCCTCATGTTTCTCCTTTAGTTAGCAGAGAGAAACATAATACAGTGATTGTATCCTGCTGTTTTCACCTCAGTGAATGAAGTCTGAAGCCCGCATGTGGCTATTTGTACTTCACACCCACTAATTATTTCATACCAAGAATCGAAGCATATTTTAGGCTACAAGGTGCCTCTGGAGACCATTCTTTTGCTAAGAACACTAATGTCAAAGCTAGATGAGCTTTTCAGTGTATTCTTCCACCAAATCTTTCTGTATCCCCAAGGAAGAAGGTTGTACCACACATCTAGATAATTGTCCTGAGATTAACTACCCTCCGTCACATTTTTGTATTTACATCCATTCAGAGTTTTGCTCAGTACCACTTCTATCCATTGCATCTCAACATTTCACTATACATCTCCAAAACCAGCTGACTCCATTTTGTAACCTTGCTTAGGTAACAGTAAACAGCAATACTCCACCACCATCCCTAGCCTTCTCTCTTTCCATCTGAACAAACCACCTACCTATTAAATCCTGTGCTTTAACCAGTAACTCTCTTGATGATCCTCCGCCCGCTGAGGTTTATTGTCAGTCTTCTTCTATTGAGCTCACTTAGAGACAGTACTCTAGTTGTGGACTCACAAGTATCTAATAAAAGGTAAAAATGTCACCTCTGATCTGCTAATGCTGCCCGGTAAGTGCTTAGCCTTCAACTCTAAAGGGGCATGCAGCTGTCACATGTTCAATTTGTTGACCGCGAGAACCCTTGGATTGTTTTTTGCGAAGCTACTCTGTAGCAGTTGGCCTTCAGCTTGTATTAGTTTGGGGATTTTTCCATGTCAGGTTCAGGTCTTTGCATTTATTTTTGACTTTCATGAGGTTTCTGTTAAACCGTTCCTTCATTTTGCCACTGTCCCTCTGAATGGCAACCCTACCCCTCACTGTATCAACAACTCCCTCCAGTTTGGTGTCATCTGTGAGCTTTCTTGGGGTACATTTTGTGTCATTGCTAAGTCTTTAATAAAGATATTAAACATGATCAAACCTTGAGGAATGTCACTCTATGACTAGAGTTCAGCTACTCTTTGGAACAGGCGCCGTTAGTCTGTGATTTTAGTGATCCAGTTTGGTTTTTACACACCTTGTCATCTACCCATTCATTTCACACTGGATGCAAGGCTGCTGTGGAAAACTGTCTAAACTTTCCTACGGTCAGAGCAAAGGGCATCCAGATTCAATCATTATAGGAGGCAATTAGATGGTGGGAAGGCATGATTTGCCTTTTGGTAGATACGTGTTATTTGTTCCCCAAAGCTTTTTTTGCCCTTAAAGTGCCTGTAATTTGCTTCTGTGAAAATGTGTTCTCTCACCTTCCCAGGGACTACAGTAAGGCTGACTATCACGTAGTTCCCTAAATCCTCCTCCGTGCTCTTTTTTGAAGATGCGCATGACATTTACTGTTTTCCAGATATCAAAGACTGTCCCAGACAGCATGCCCTTTCACACATTATAAGGAAAACCCCAGCAGTGGCACTACCCAGTTCATCAAACACCTTTGGATGCGTTATGTCTATAAGAGAAAAATTGAGCTGAAGTTACCCACCCTCCAAAGGCTTTACTGAGGTGTTGCAAATTACCTAGGCTGTTGGGCAGATCATAGTGATGCACAGAACCTGTGCTGTTTCTCCTGCTGTAGTGTTCATTGTGCAGTTGCATTCAACACAGTCTTCTTCAGCAGGACAATTCATAGAAAACAGATTTCCCTCCTACCCACAGCGCCTATTTTCTTTGCAAATTTAGAGCTTCTTGTTTGTAGTGTTTGAGGATTTTCACCAATATTTCTATTAGATGCTTAAGCATGATTAACAGAAGAGTAGGAAGAAACTGTATTCCCCATGGGAAAGTACAAAATTAAATGGAGAAACCAAGTAAGTTTAATTTCCAAATCAGAATGTATGAAACCTGTTTTCCAAACCTACCCCAAGATAGTATGGCAGTGATTTTTTATTTTTGTTTTTCCTTTTTTTTTTTTTTGAAGTTGAAAGGAATAGAACATTTTTGAATAAATATTATATTGGTACATTACACCACTGAACTGAATTTGCAGTAAGTACTTACTCAGTTATTTTCAAGGGTATTCAGAACCTGTGCCCATTACATACAGTGCTTCTCATAAGGGACTTATGACTGAACGAATAACTACACAATAAATGGAAGTATGTAAAAATGGTGTACATGGGCATTCTCTGAATAAGAAAGGGGATAAAAGAATGCCTTGAATTTCTTGAGATAACTGACCATAAGTGAAATTAGTTTGTTTGATTGTCCTGTTTTGTCTGCTAGAATAATAAGATTGAAATAGATTCTTGTTAAAGATTTTGTAGAGTATTTGTCAAAAAGTGTACTTTTATACTGAAATGAGCTGTAACAGAAGCTGTAGGATTCAAGAGTTGCTTAAATGTAGGAAGAGAACAAGAATGGAAGTTTTTCACGGTTTTTTAATGCATTAGTGCCACTTTAAAGGCACTGCAGATGAAATACTGAAAAAACTCTTAGAAATGCGTTTGAATTTTTATAGATCTGACTACTGAAAGTTACCAGAAATTCCTGTTTCTGAAGGAGTACAGCTAATGAAAATTCCACATTGCTAGTAGGGACATAGCCTTTTTTAAGAAAAAAAAAAAAAGAGCAAAACCCAGCATATGGAATACACAGTCATTGTTCAGACTTAGTGGAAAGCTTTAGTGCAATTTAAGGTGTGAGCACTAGGGTTGAGAGACAAAAGGAAAGTTAGGTTGGAACTCAGGTTATGAATGGAATTTTGTATGACAGTGATTTAAAGCAATGAGTGTATTTGCTTGGCTTTCCTTTAGGCACTCCTGTTATTACTAATTAAGATAATAATCTAGATTGTGTAAATCTCCTGCAGGCAAGAGGTGTTCAGCCACATTTAAAGATGTGGTGAGACCTGTTTTCAGGAAGCTGTTTTTACAGTATGAGGTCTTATTTAAAGGAAAAGTCAGTAGTGATGACTTGTTTATTCATCTCTTATTTATTTCCTGGTTGTGTCTGTTCAAACACTGTTATGCATATGTGTAAAGTTATGATTGATCTGTTTTTTAACATAGAAAGCTTAAGATAGGATAGAATCATGGAATAATTTAGGTCAGTAGGGACTGAACAGAGTTCATATACTCCAGCCCCTGCATACAGCACACCTAATTACATCAAGTTGCTCTAGGGCTTCAGTCAAGTCTTAAATACCTTCAAAGATGAAAATCACACAACTTCCCTGGGCA